TGAAGCGTTCCCGCATTGACGTCACTTCCGGCTTCCCCCAAAACTTCAAAATGAGTCGAAGGAATTTCCCCGCGATGTTCGAAATTATTGATATTTAACGGAACGGTATCGCTTTTTCTTTTTTAAACTGACGGTTCGAGATGACTAGTAGCCCAATATTTCATTGCACAACAGTTGTTGGGATGCTGTCACAGGCTCTTTAAACATGTTTCCTTATTGGGAAAATTGGTGTCCCAGAAACAGGGGCGGACTGGGGGGGAAAAGTGGCCCGGGGATTCATTGACAGACAGGCCCACTTAATGCGCGGCATGTATCGGCCGGCCGGCGACGAAAGTATGTTACTTAACAACAAATCCTATGCATTTTATGTTATTTTGGACAATTATTCATATAGTAATCACATTACCTGAGCCCTTGAGTTGCCTAGAGCAAAACAGTTACGGCATATATTTAGTGATTTTAATGTTAACAGATCATTGATGCAATAACATTTTGACCCAATGTGCCTGACTTGACACATGGAATAAAACATGGGCGTAGGAAGCATCCTCAATGTGGGTGAGACAATTTAACAGGGGGTGTGGGCAGGTGGTGGACCTCACCTCCTCTAGGGGGATCCGGGGGCAAGCTCCCCCGGGAAGATTTTTTTTTAAATGTTGAAGTTAAATGCATCAATCTGGTCCATTTTGAGAGCAAAATTAGGGACTAAATCTATGGCAGTCAGTAGGGGCTTGGACTGTGAGCCGTAGGGTCGCCGGTTCAAGTCCCCGACCAGACCTATTTGAAGTGTGGACTTCTACTTGGAGAGGTCCCAGTTCACCTCCTGCCGTGGTGCCCTTGAGCAAGGCACCAGACATCCCCCTTCCCCCCTCACTCCCATTGCTCCCCGGGCGCTGTACAATAGCTGCCCACTGCTCCTAGTACTAGACTCCTGGTACTAGGATGGGTTAAAAGCAGAGAACACATTTCACTGTGTGTGCTGTGTGCTCTGCATGTGTGACCATTAAAGAGGGTTTCATCCTCCAATTCTCTCTTCTTCTTCTTCTTCTTCTGCTCTTCTTCTTCTTTTCTTCGTCTTCTTCGTTCTTCTTCTTCGTCTTCTTCTTCGTCTTCTCTTCTTCTTGCTTCTGCTCTTCTCCTTCTTCTCTTCTTCTTCTTTCTTTTTTCTTCTCTTCTTCTTTCTTTTCTTCTTCTATCTTCTTCTTCTTCTTCTTTCTCTTCTTTCTTTTCTTCTTCTTCTTCTTCACCCCCTATGAAAACAGAACCTGTAACACAGATTTAACTTTTTCTTTCAACATTTATTTGAACAGCAAGTGGAAGGCAAAAGTGGACCTGCACCCAAAACAATAAACTGGTAGCCTAAACTAGCCTAAACTCAGTAACAGAATGTGGGCAACACGTTCTTCTCCACAGCCGCGCAACCTCTGAGTCAGACATCACTTCCCCCTTATCTATCCTACGGGTACAGCCGTACAGCCACTCCCCCTAAACCCTGTTGTAACAACATAATACACTTGTTGGGGATGCAGCTTGGGATGTGAGGACATGGCTTAGAAAGGGCGTGTCGCCTTCTGTCCTGCCAGTGTTGGCAGGACATTAATTAAAATGTCGAACTCGAACTTCATTTTAAGGACATTTCGGCCAGGGGTGTAGAGCTATATTTGTTTAAGCACCGGATTGGCAAAACAGGAGAGTGTGTGCACCAGTCTGCCTTGATCTATGTAATCATGTCTGTGACTCTCACAGTATCTGCTGCCCGCAGCTGTTTTATAGAAGGAAAACCTCCTTCACTTCATGAAATCTCTGCAGCACCAGGAGGCAGCGGGAGGGTTAACTCAGCCTCTGAGAAGAGGAGCGCGCAGTGCCTTTCACGCAGCGCCTTTCACGCAGCGCCTTCATTGTGTTTACCTTCAGAATCATTAGAAAGGCTAAAGAGCGGTCTGGCTGATGTGTTTTAACCACACACACCTCCACACACACACACACACACACACACACACACACACACACACACACACACACACACACACACACACACACACACACACACACACACACACACACACACACACACACACACACACACACACACACACACACACACACACACACACACACACACACACACACACACACACACACACACACACACACACACACACACACACACACACACACACACACACACACACACACACACACACACCACACACACACACACACACACACACACACACACACACACACACACACACACACACACACACACACACACACACACACACACACACACACACACACACACACACGATTTAAACGCAGACTTTTTTTCCCTCCATGTTACGTTGTTATTGTTTCACTGAGCGGACCCCCACATTTTTTTCAAACGCTCCCCTTTTTGGTCCATCTGCGCGGTTTTGTGCGCTGTGATGATTCGGCTGTACCTTTAGTAATGAATATTAAATGTTGTGAGGAAATCTTTCCACCAATAATTCCAATAAGTAATCCAAAATGTATTCACTTCAGATTTACGAAAGTAACTGTAATCAGATTACTCGTTTTTCAAATGTAACGCGAGCTGAATACAGTTACTTGATTTTTGTATTCTGATTACGTAACACCGTTACATGTATTCCGTTACAACCCAACCCTGGCCACACCCCACTGGGCTGGGCCGGAACACTTACAAATGTGGGCCAGTAGGATTTAGGCAAGCAAAAAAAGAAAAGGGAGTGGCCGGAACACTTACAAATGTGGGCCGGTAGGATTTAGGAAAAAAATTAAGATTTTTTTTTTTTTTTTTTTGGCCCTCCGGTCCCACACACAGCACCGGGCCGGCCCACCGGGGAAACTCCCGGTATTCCCAATGGCCAGTCCACCCCTGCCCAGAAATGAATGGGTCCCAACAAAAAAATACAATGTGAACAAAACAGTTTTTTTCTCGTTTTGATCCGCATTGCTGTGCATTGAAAACACACACACACACCTAGAGATCTGGACTCGAACATGAAAAAAGACAAAAGATTTTAGCTGACACAGCTTTCTATTTATCCCAATATCTAAGCAATGATTAGCTGAGCATGGAGAATCATCTATCTTCGGCGGCATCACACACACACACACACACACACACACACACACACACACACACACACACACACACACACACACACACACACACACACACACACACACACCACACACACACACACACACACACCACACACACACACCACACACACACACACACCACACACACACACACACACACACACACACACACACACACACACACACACACACACACACACACACACACACACACACACCAGCAAGGTGAGCCAATTGGAGCTGAATCGAGGCATTCAGCCAAAAACCGTGTGCATGCCGCATTGCCAGCTTTAAAGCCCCAGAGTCTGAGAGTGAAGCATCAGTGTACGTGTGATTAAGAGCATGTGCAGGGATGTATATTCAAGTGTCTTTGAAAGCATCGCTGTACTACTCTCCGTATATTTTCCTCTTTACTGCTACAATGTCCTACCATACATGGATTTGAACAAACCGAGACCACCTGATTCCAAATGTTTCCACCTGAAAAAGGGCAAACTGTTCAAAAGCTGACGTTTGGTGCTTTGAATGAAAGTGGGTCAAATGCAGATCGCTTGGGGTTGAATTATAAGGCAGACAATGGGATTAACTCAGCAGCCGAACGAGAGCTATCAGCTGACGACACTTTCACACAACTGTCTGCAGAACACATGCTGGCCCGAGCGACCGCTGTCCCGCCCCGATGCTGTTTTTATCTGTCCCATGTGAACCTGAACGCAGCACAGTGTCGCTCTTGTTCTATTGCAAAAACAAGTTGGTGTTCAAAAAGCCTGAAAAAAGGCATTTCTGAGAAGGGGGGGCACGGGGGGGGGGGGGGGGGGGTTTAAAGAAAGGCGACACATGGTTAGTGGCAATAATAAACTACATTGTTGATAGCGATATTATTATTTTTGTTGCAGTTAATAAATGCCAAATAAAACTTTAAACATTGCATCTTTTGTGGCTTTCCTCATCTGCTTGTGGTTTTTTGCATCCATTTATTGTTGTTGTGCTGTGTAGTTGTTTGTTGTCTCAGTAGTTTTTTTAGGTCCCTTAGTTGGTCCATTTGTGGTATTTTTCTGAATCCTTCTGTGGTTGTTTTTAGTTTTTCCGGATCTTTAGCGTCTCTCGATGGTCATTTTGCATCCCTTGGAGGTCATGTTCTAACATTTTTGTAATTTACATCTTTGAGTTTTCTATCTCTTTGTGGTGTATTTTGCGTCCCTCTGTGGTTTTTATCCATCACAGAGGGACTTTAACATCTCTTGGTAGTCATTTTGCATCCCTTTTGGGTCATGGCGCATATATTTGTTTTTTTATTTCTCTATTTGTGGTTGTTTTGCATCCCATTTTGGTCATTTTGCGTCTATTTGTGCTCTATTTAAGTCTTGATGGCTTTTTTACATTCCTTTGTGGTGTTTTTCATATTTTCTGGCTTTAAGCTACATTCTGTGGTCATTGTACAGCCCTTTGTGGTTATGTTGCATATTTTTATGTTCAATTTCGGCCTTTTTGGGGTAGATGTTCATGTCTTTCCGGACCTTTAGCGTCTCTTGTTGGTAATTTGGGATCTTTTATTATGTTTTTTTTGTCTCTTTGTGTTTGTTTTGCATCCAATTCATGTCATGTTGGGTCCATTTGTGCCCTTTTTTTGTCTTTGGGCAGTTTTCACATCGTATTTTGGTCTTTGATGCATCCCTCTGTGGATGTTTTTTTTAATCTTTTTTGTAGTTGTCATGCATCTCTTTGTCGCCATACTCATCAAGTGACATGGCACTATGAATCCCTAAATCTTACTGATCAGGTGTTCTCTTACAGTAAAAGCTGGACCGCATGTCTAGCTACATTTGGAGAAGATAAAAATGAGTAACAACCCCTCCTTCGCATTGTTTTCTTCTGTTTGGTCTCATTAGATCGTCTCCATTTCATCCCAAGTTTTCACAGAGGAGATCTGCTTTCCGAGTGTTCTGAGATGCTGCCAAATAGAGCACATGAGTTGGCTGCTGAGACTCCTCTGAGATATCCTAGAAACCATAACTCAATATCCAGGTCAACTCTGTATTCACGGCTCACCGAGAAGGAAGCTCTCCGTCTGGAACCGACCATCCAACGTTCAGCAGCCGATGGAACGTGAAGGAAGGAGGCCGGCCTGACTCTAATGCCATTACAGTCAGAGATCTTGCCAATAGATAATGCTGGTTCAACAAGTCCTCCAACTCATACGACCAAATGGGCCGATTGTTCAAGCCCTTATTACGACCAAATATGTCGTTTGTTCAAGCGATTAATACGACCTATAATTACGTTTTAAAAGTTGTCGGCCTCTAGTGCTCCCGTTGAATGCAAACGTTACAGAGGGTCGTTTATTCACAATTAACCCTCTCTGTAAAATCCTAAATTGTAGGATAGTTTGGCCATTAAAACGCTTTTTGATTAGATTTCTAGCGAGAAGTATATATTGTACTTTTAGAATCCACGTCCAGTCGATATGTAGGATCTATAGTTTGATAGATATTACGAAGATGATTTGAGGTTTCGTCAGGAGAACGTGTATATGCGGCAAGCTTCCATGTAAAGTTACGGGTTGAAAACAGTATTTCCGGTCTCGACGTTTTCATAATAAAACCAATGATCAAATGATTTAACAGTGATATCTGCAGTACTCATCCACTAAAAAACATCAGTTTATCCTAGTTAATTATACAACATTAATTGGTTTAAATTGTGTACAATGCTTTTGTGTTTTTCCCATAGGTTTTTCTCTTTCGATTCTGAGAGACACATTTCTTTTTTCAGAGGTTTTGATAGGCTAAAATCACGCCGCAATGCACGTCGGGATATGGTGTTTATGTGATATGAAATCGGAAAACATTTAAAAAAATAAAATAATACTTTATTCCGAGTGTTCTTGCTTTTCTCTTTGAAAGTCCTCACATAACGGCATTGTAATACACGGTTCGGCTGCATTAAATATTACATATCTGCCGTAGATATTTATTTATAGAGTCCTGATCAGAAGACCTTTTGACAAACTGGAAGAGATCCCGCCAAAACTGAATACGTGACGTGGACCATAAATATATCAACAATTAAACAACATCTTCCATTTCTTTTCACACAATACGTCTCCTTGCAGTATCAACACTAATTCGGCTGACTTTTATATTTGATCCAATTAGTAGATCGTCTGTATTTACACCATAACGGTGCACAGCTGATAGAAAGGGACTTTTTTGTAGTTTTTAAAGATTACTGATTTTCTGAACTATCTTTCCAACTCCTCATGCAGTTGACTGTTACAGGTCTATACAAGTTCATGGTACAATGCATAAGCTTCACATCGAGAGACTGAAAGTGTATTTTCCTTTACCGTTCTGTTTTAATTTCACAATAAAGTTAATAGTCATATTATGTTTGATATGATTATGTTTTATTAACTAGACCAGTGGTTCCCAAACTTTTTGTGCCCAAGGCACCAAAGGACAAGTAAAAATCTCAAGGCACACCTATTGTGCAAAATAGCCCTTATAACACGTGTTATCACTCATATCATGTAAAATATCTGTAAATGTGCATAATTATTTACTAATGCCAAATAAAATGTGACAAAGACAACTATATTACTCATGAAATATTTATTAACGAAATATTTCAGAAATTAATTTGAAACTTTATCAAATTAAATTAGGCTTCATCAAAGCAGCAACACACTCATTTAAACCAAACAGGTCACAAAATAAAAAATGAGGCAAAGGAAACTCAGCAGAAATTCAGCACAGAGAACTGTCAATGCAAGGAAGCTGCATTGCATGGTCCTGAACTACAAATTATAAATGTAACATTTCAGCAATCAACATTGAAACATGTGCTATTGTAAATATTGTTGCCGATTTACAAATTAGTAAGATACATGTGCATGTCGGGGCGCGCAGCATTTTGTAATCCTTGGTGGCACTGAGGAGAGGGCCACTCGCAAGTCCTGTTCAACAGAGAGCCGTGACCTCCGGTTGTTCTTCATGTAAACCAGAGTAGAGAACGCCAACTCCAGAGATGGGGTCGTTACTAAAAAAATGTAATATATTACATATTACTTTAAAAAAAATATATAAACAAACAACAAATAGCGTGTGCGGTAGCTTCACCTTAGCATGTGTTCTTTGCAGGTGTTTGTTGAGGTTTGACGTGGTGTTTACAGCAGTGGATAACAGCTTCTGGCCTGGACACAGTTTGCACCTCACCGTCACATTCCTGTCTATTCTTCGGACGAACTCAAAGTAATGGGCCACCCCTCGAAAGTTATCGCTGACTCAGCCATGTTTATGCAGCACTGCACGTGGAGATGTGGACGCGCAAGTCGCGCAGATTACGTACATATAAACCTACAAAGTACTGATATAGTAAATTAAAACATAATTATTTTTGTGTAGTTGTATATTGCAATAATAACGTCTGGTTGTCACAAAATCCCACGGCACACCCGGACTTGCCTCACGGCACACCAGTGTGCCGCGGCACACCGTTTGGGAACCACTGAACTAGACCACTGGTTTTTTAACCCACACCTCCAAGTGGTTAAAGCACGTTATTGAATGTAGTTGTTGAATAAGTTATATTTGATGAAAACATTTAAATATTAAGAGTAGCCTACATACAAAATAGGGGTCAATGATAGAAATATAGAATAGAAAATATCAAGAAGATACTGTAGTGATCTCTACAATAAAACAGTTTAGTGCAGGACGTCCAAAGATATTAACAGGAGGATGTGCAAAACAGACAAACTGATAAGGCTGAATTTTACTCAGGTGTAACTAAAGTCTGATTTAAGGGTTGTTTATATTTCACATCATTAATCAGAATTTGCAAAGTAACAAAAATAAATGTAGTAGAGTAAAAATACCAGGTTAACCTCTGAAGTGGAGTAGAACAAAGTAGTACATGCTGCTGTAACAAAAACATTTCCCAACTTGGGATCAATAAAGTATCTTATCTTAAGATGATCGATGGCTACTGCCATATTTGCTAAATGTGCATCTGAACCTTGACAAGTGCATGTTTCAGGCTTATCAATTAACAACAGGAGGGGTCACAGACATAAGACCAGCTGTTAAATAAAGCTCTTCTGACCTTAGGTGTCATGTGGGTATATTAATGCTGCCCATTACGGACACAAGCAATTTTCACCGTATTAATTATATGTTTTAAATTTGATAACACCAATGTGTTTCGTATCCCCTAAACCTCCAGGGATGTATACCGTTTAATACTGGCAACTTCTAATTGTGGGAAATACGAAAACGTCTTTTAAAACTACAATTCCCAGTAGAGACGTGTCATAGAACATGTTGCGCAACACACAATAGCCAGCATGTGTAATTCTGGGGGGGAGGGCTGGGCTGGACCCGTCCAAGTCCAGTTTTGGATAGTCTGGCGTGGTTCCATTCCATTTCAAAGAGCTGTTTGACACTCGGCGTAACCTTGTCGCACTGCCACTCCAACATCCAATCACAGAGCTTGAGGGCTAATCACGGCGTTTGTAAAGCAAGGCGGATGTTGTAGTCCCAAATTATAGCTGGGGATTCTGGGTAGTGTAGTGTCTTCGGAAACTCTGTAGTGTCTAAACTCCGAAAAAACAATTTGTTTCTCCGAATCGAAGGTTAAAAACACAAAAGTATTGTACACAATTTAAACCAATAGGTTTGTGTAATTGTGTAATTAACAAGGATAAACTGATGTTTTTTAGTGGATGAGTAATGGAGATATCACTGTGTAATCATTTGACAGTGTGGGGAATACTTCCGGTTTTATTATGAAAACTTCGAGACCGGAAATACTGTTTTCACCCACGCTAACTTTACATGGAAGCTGCCCCATATACAGTACACGTTCTCCTGGCGAGACCTCAAATCATCTTCGTATATCTATCAAACTGTAGATCCTACACATCCACTTGTAAAAGTACAATATACACTTCTGGCTAGAAATCTAATAAAAAAGCATTGTAATGGCCAAACTATTCCACAATTTAGGATTTTCCAGAGAGGGTTATTTGTGAATAAACGACCCTCCGGAGCGTTTGCAATCGACAGGAGCATGTTGTTTCTTACACGACCACTAGAGGTGCTACACTTTAAAACGTGACTCTGGGTCGTATTTAGCTACTGAACAATCGATCTATATGGTCGTTTTTTGTAGGAGGACAGGCTGTGCTGGTTGTGTTGTGGTGGAGGATATAGATCCAGATAATGAAGCTCTGCGACTAGATAAGCCTGAAGCTATTACACTAAGTCTTTTAGATAGTGCTGATTGACTAGTGTTGGACACAGATATTGAATCTCATTTCAGAATACTGTTCTGTACATTCATTCTATTTGTCATAAAAAATATCCTTCACAATAAAAGCAGGTTGGAAAAATACTTCTAATTGTGTGTTGAAAAAAAGGACATGCTTTTCATGCAAACACACCATTGCCACTTCCTTGTTTCAATATGCTGACAATTCCTGTTGAAAATGCTGTCATGTTACTAAAACTGTCCACACACTGCATTAACCAAAAGGCAGTTTTCTGCATTACCAAAAACATACACACCAGTCTGAGGCATTTCCCACTCACACAAACACACCCCTCCTCCTCATACTACGCAGACAGCTGGTTTCTTACCTATGCAAAGCTGCAACACATAGGCGTAGTATGACCACGCCACTATGAGGGCGATGAATAGGACCGGGATCCAGTACAGAACTCTCTGACAGCCCTTCTTGATACTACGCGAGCCCGACGGTGCCATGGTCTAGGAGCGGATCATTTCTCGTGCGCATTCGTCTCTTATTACTCCCTCTTCCTCAGTCGTTGTGTGTGTGAGTGTGCGTTGTCCTGTGTAGTCTGTCACTGCATCGTAGCTCCGGCTCTGATCAGCCTAATCGGCAGCTCAGACGCAACATCCTACAGTCTGCTGCTGCTGCTGCACTGCTCGCTCTGATATTCCAGCTCAGATCTCTCGTGCAGACTACAACAACATATCAGACAGCTCGCACAGTCAGCGCCGCCCCTGCTGACCCCCTCCCCACAGGTTGCCATGATGTCCACGGGATGCAGCAAGCATTGCACTTTTTTTTTTTACACGGTGAGCAGATGGGTTCAATGTCTGGAAGGCCAAAGGTGCCATAAAACGCAACTGTTTCAATATGCTTTTTACTTAAATGCCTGTTTGGTTTTTGCGCGTTATTGTTGTTCGGGCAACTCTTTTTTACAGAACTTTGTTTTTTAAAAAAAAAATCATTTTCCACCACAAACAAATACAACAAAAATGTGGTTTTTTTGTA